AATCCAGAAAATAATGGAAAACAGAATTTGGGAAAGATAAAACTGTAAAATTCAATTAATTAGACAGGCTTTTTGATTAATAAAATTTAATTCAACTATTAAAACAGAGTATAGAAAAATGTAAATGGAAAAAAAATGAATTTGGAAATAAAACGGATTTCATAGTGCCCTATAATTATAATTAATTTTTTTGTGGTAATAAAAATAGATGTAAGTGAACAATAGCCTTTAATATTACTTAAAATACATATATAATAGGAATGAGGCAATAATAATTAGTTCAAATAAAGTATCAAAAGCAAGAAATCATATGGTTTTATTGAACAAAACTGTTAAAATACATAATGTATTATAAACAGTAGAGCTAATGTACATTACCTATTACAACAAAGGTGCAGGGCGCCAACGGCCTGATGATTATTTTTACACATTACTGTGCGATCTAATACTTGCGAGCCGTTGTGTGACGCACGTACTTAACCTACACGCATGTAAATAATTAAATTGCATATACTGTATTAGAACTGCATCGCATATAATCATTTAATTAAATCGTAGCGTTTGTGAATTCACAATTATGCTTAATTAAATGTGTTTTATGGATTCTCGTCTGTGAAATGCGCCACTTCCGGTATTTTGCCGGTTAGTCGACGCGAGCAAAATGAAGTTTATTAGAATAGTCTAATAAAATCGACGAATCGCAACAGCCCTACATTAAAATGCACATGTTGTTGCTGTCTCTCAGTATCTTATCCATCTACTCATAGTCCATTTCTGGGTTGTGTCTTTGTTGGTGAACGTGATTTTACCAAGTGCAACATGTTCCTGGAACAACATTCCAATCAACCAATCAGAATTGAGGGGTAAGTTTAAAGGAAATGTCAATTTTAACCTTACAACCACAGATAGGCACTTCTACACCCTTGTTATTCAACCATAATTTCTCTCTGATTTTAGGGATATATTATGGTAGGGATAGGGTTAGGTCTATATTTTTGGACAATAATGTTGATCCAGGAACATGTCTTGCTTGGCAAAATCACGGTGACTGTCTTTGTTTGCACTGGCAGCCCACAACACAATTTCAGTTTTCAGAAATCTGAAATCTGAATCCATAGAACATGTTAGAAATCCATTTCGCAACAACCAGATTCTAATGTGTACATCTGAAAAGAAGTGAGCACACTTTTAATCTCACGCAGATGCAGTGAGGTGAGCTTTATACCTGTGGGAGACGTGCGGTAAGCAAAGCTGTATCTCTTCAGTATTCTTAGCATTGACTGGTAGTTGTTCCAGGTGTCATGTGACACCAGCAGATCCTTGCGGCCCGGGAGGAACTTGATCAGAGCCGAGCAGGAGCCAGAGCCTACGGCGCGAGACTGGTGGGATTTGTTCAGCGCCGCCTCCAGGTCCTCCAGGTCTCCACCCATCTGGAAAAGGCTGCGCAGAGAGGAAGAATGCGCATGCAAAAATAATACTGCACATGGAATAAGAAAAACAAAACATGTCTTTACTCACAGGAAGCCAAAGGGGTTGATGGAAAGGCTTCCAGACGGAAACTCAATCTGCCCGTTGTAGCCGTCCTCCAGACCTTGCAGCTGCAGCAAAGACAAACGCACCTGCAGAGGAACATTGCACAGAGCTGTGTGAACACGCAACAGAAACACCGGAAAGAGAGCTTGCAGGGCAGACTTTGCTTCTGCATTGAGGGGTGCTCACATAGTGAAACTGCAGCGAAATGTCATAAGCAAAAACAGCCGTACGAAGCGCCGCTCATAGAGAACCAGTTGAGTCCTCTGCACAATCTGACTTTGCTGCAGCCTGGAATTGAACTGCTGGTTTCGTCTGGCCAGAAGAGAACTGGCCCCCCGACCAAGCCATTCTCCATTCTGTCACCGATGGAGTTTTGTTTCCTCTGGCTTGCTTAGTTGGGGACACTTAATTTCCAGCGATATCGTCGACTTGATTGCACAGACACTATTAAACTGAACTGAGCTGGATGATGACATCACTGAATTCAATGATGAACTGCCTTTAACTGAAAATTGAGTGTTTACTAATATCATTTTGCATTATTGACACACTATTTTCCTATTTAATACTGTAAAGCTACTTTGACACAATCTGTATTGTTAAAAGAGCTATATAAATAAAGGTGACTTGACTAGAGAAGTCACTTTAAAAAAACCAAGCAGCTTTCTGTTAGTCAATGCGGCGAATTCATGTGACCAACTTGAAAATGAGCGAAACTCGTGTGGGGAAGTGTTTCACCCTCACAAGAAACTGCCAATCGTGCAGAATCCTACTGGAATGAGTGGATTTTGCTCACAAAACTTCACAGAGCAACAGTAAATGTGAACTGTCATGACTCTCGGCGCATCTGTTTCTGTTGGCTATGACCATGAATCAACAGCTGCAGTGTCACGGACGCAACAGCCAATCCCTCTTCAGTACGCACATAAATGCTGTTTGTTTGTTTGTGGCGAGAAAATTTATGGCTGAATTATATCATGTTTTTACAACTTTAGCTAAAAACTCAAACTGTATCTGGCTTGACTCCGTTAAAAGTCTCTTCAAAAGAGTTAACTGAATAAACATGTTCTCTCACAGGGTTAAAACCAGCACAATCTAATAAAATATGCTTCATGGATAAAGGGTTTCGGCAGAGAGAGCATGTTGGAGGATCTTCTAGTATTAAAAACTTGTGTCATCCTGCAGTGACCTATTCTACAGCGGGTATAAACAATCTGCTGCCATCGCAACTGATTTTTCTTTTTCAACATTGGGCCTAATTTCCACATAAATGCAAGGAGGAAGACTAATCAGTGTGCACATGTTAAAGGGGTCATCTTGCTAACTAGCACGTTATTAGGAAAGGTGATTTGCAAAGATTCATAAAAGAATCTTATACTTATTTCTTCTGTAAGTGAAGCTGGATCACGAATTATTTGCGTGAACATAGATGCATTTATGTAGAACGGGGGCGCATTCCCTTCAGAAACAAACGTAATCCACTGCGTCTTCAGTGGCTCAGATGTCGGGAGTAAATGACGACTGCTATGTTCATTATTACATCCAACAACAGAACACCTCAATCGCTTAGGAGTCGTTCTTGTCTACTTCTGCTCCAGCGGTGAAACAATGGCGGACTGATGACAGCTCACTCAGGGCGGAGCTAAGGTTAAACACCAGTGTCAATCACCAATTGTGGGAGGGGCCTGGGTCTGTGTGATGTCACACAGCCAAGAATCTGAGTACGGCTTGATATGAGAAAGAGGAAATGATTTAACGAGATTTAAAAAAAAAAAACACTGGGTGGATCTTTATCATTATAAGGTGGTTGTGTACACACACTTCCAACACACGTCAGTTCAAACAGATTGTAAAAGTGATGATGGCACTGCTGTCACTAGGTGAACAAGGTCGACAGACTTCATAAAGTGTGTATTGTTTACTAAACACACCTAAAGGTCAAAACTCCCAAGAAACAATGATAGACAAAGGCCTGTACATGAAGTGGTTCAGTCTGAATGCATTTTTTTCTCTCCTCTACCTGATGCCAGTACGGGGCGTCTGCGTGCGCGTCCATCTGCTGCATGAGCCACTGCAGGTTGCTGGTGATGTAGTCTTTGAGCCGCTGGCAGTAGCTCACATCGGGAGAGAACGGGCCGCAGTAACCCATCAGTGTGTTCATCCAGTGCTTGTAGATGAGCTGCGGTTCAAAGAGCACCACATGACATACACTACAACCGCACTACATTACATACACCCAGCTGCCTGTCCACTTTACATAAAGAAGCACTTTTTATTATTATTATTGTTAATTTTATACATTTTATTTAATGCAGTACAGTATTTAAAAGAATGGTTTTCAAATTCAGTCTGAATTTTTTATTATTTTATTTATGGAACTAGCTTGATGAGCACTATTTCAAAAAGCATTTTTGCTTTGGAGTTTTTGTGGCAGCCTGTTTCAATCAAAACTGAAATAGAACAGAAAAGATGACTGTAAAGATGTTGCTCTGACTGGGTCAGGGGTGATACCTGTGAGGTGACGGCAGCCTCCACGACTCCAGCAGCGTACGCCTGCAGCGTGTCATTATAACCACCGCTGGTGCTGACCTCCAGATATGCCCAGCTGACACACACACACACACACACACAGAACATCAGGTTAGGATGCACTCTTGTCATTTACACAGAGACAGCAGCACTGCGTGATGAAAGGCCGAGGCATTTCCACACGCATGCTCTCACTGGTGCATCTGTAGAAGCTGCTGAGGATTTCTGGTAATGTGGGCATGCCAATCTAGAAGCTCTTTCTGATCCATTACATCACGTGAAGTCCACTGTGAGTGAATGTTGACATGTCTTCAGTTCTTGTGCGCAGGTGCTGCTTTCTATGAGGGCTAGGTCTATGTGAGCTCATATTTTCTCACCTCTGTTTTAACACTGGTTGTAGGCCAGGATGGAGAAGGGATGCCACTGACTAACCCTTTGAACACCGCTCCTTGACTGGCAAAAGTACATTTCTGAGTGACCCAAATAAACCTAAAATCAAAACTACGATACCCTACTGTAACATGCAACACAACTCCTTGTTCAAGCTCTTGTTCTGTCCAGGCTGGACTATTGCAATGCTCTCTTGGCAGGTCTTCCAGCCAGTTCTATCAAACCTCTACAATTAATCCAGAACGTGGCAGCAAGATTAATTTTTAACGAGCCGAAAAGAATGCACGTCACACCTCTGTTCATCAGTTTGCACTGGCTACCAGTAGCTGCTCGCATAAAATTCAAGGCATTGATGTTTGCCTACAAAACCACCACTGGCTCTGCACCCCTTTACCTAAATTCAGTACTTCAGACTTATGTGCCTCTAGAAGCTTGCGTTCTGCAAGTGAACATCACTTTCTTGTTCATCCCAAAGAGGCACAAAATCACTTTCACAGACTTTTTCATGAACTGTTCCCTCCTGGAGGGATGACCTGCCCAACTCAATCCCAGCAGCTGAGTCCTTAACCATCTTCCACACTGCCATTCTCCCTCAATCTCTCCAGTCCAGATGAGATTCTTTCAATATATAATAACACTATATCCAATGCCTTGGAGGAACTTGCCTCATTAAAGACTAGAACTGTCCCCTCAGATCATTCCTTGCCATGGATCATTCCAGAACTCCGTTTGTTTGTTTGCGTTTAATGCCATGCCAGCTTCTGTGGCTATTTTCATGGCGAGAAAAATTTATAACAAAATACTATACGTTTTTTTTTATTTATTTTCGCTAAAAACTCTAAAACTGTATCTGGCTTAACACTGTTAAAAATCTCTTCAAAAGAGTTAACTGAATAAAAATGTTTTCTCACAGGCTTAAAACCAGCACAATTAGGGCTGGGCGATATAGCTAAAAAAATTTATCAACGATATAATGTTTCATATCGTTCGGTATCGATAATTATTGACATTTTTATAACCTTTTTTAAAACAAATAGCAATAGAATATTTATTGTTTTTACATTTAACCACTGTATTTTTAAATTAACTTAATTTATTGAGACAAACAACAAATTTTTTTTTGTTTTAACAGTCAAACACAAAATAAATATCTCATTTCTAATGTTTTATATGCATATTAAATAGGTTAAACTTTTGGCTTGTCTCCCGAGGCCACAGGAGGGCGCAATGAGCAAAATAATGCAGCACATTAAACTGTTAACGCATGGAAATAACTGTCTATAAAAAATGTGCATTACGTCTAAATTAACTCATATAAATCAAATATAATTTCATAAATTGCATAAACAATTATGAACAAAACAGCATCA